ACGCACACTCGGTCACCCTGACTTCCGGGTGCACGCACACTCCGTCACCCTGACTTCCGGGTGCACGCACACTCAGTCACCCTGATTTCCGGGTGCACGCACACTCAGTCACCATGATTTCCGGGTGCACGCACACTACACCATGACTTCCGGGTGCGTACACACATATGAAAAACACAAAACAAACAGAAAGATTTCCAGGGTACAAACTGGAAAGTCGAAACTCCCTTCCGCAGCTATCTGACGCTCTCAAAAAGCCTGTACCCCTGTAAATCCTGCTGGTCTTTAAGGCGCCACTGGGACTCAGATCTCGGAGAAGGATGAAGCCCTATGCCCCGCTCCCATCATCAAGTGGAAGAAACACAAGAGGGTGTCATTACAGGAAGGATGAAAGGAGAAGCCAAAGTCTAAGATGGCAGGGTAAACTGAGATTTTAATTTAGTTTGGATTTTCTTAAATCTTTGCTTAACAGAGAAGAGCCTTTGAGGGCGCACACAGAGGGTCTGGTTTTCGTTTTGTCCTTCTCCAGCGCATAGTAAGCAAGCCCTTAACCCTCAGAGCTATATGGAAGGTAATTCCTCCCTTTCCAAACCACCAGCATTCCAGTAGTAACTCTACACTGATCCTATATTCTGGCCTTTGATCGTGAATTAGCTTCGGGAAGTGGCAGGCAGCAGTTTTCACCCTCAATTAATTTACCGGAATCTGTGAGAATGAAAGCGGCCGAGGGAACAAAAAGGGGGGGGGGGACTTCCAGACACCAGAGCACTGTTTTTCACTAACTGCAAGGCATTAGGATACAAAAGCAAATGGATATTACGAACAGATGGTCTTTCCAGGAAAGAAGCAAAAAACAGTCAGGATGCTATTCAGAGAGTTTTCACTCACAGCAACCTTCTTGGCTTCAGAGAGCCAGTTTGGTGTCGTGGTTAAGTGTGCAGACTCTAATTTGGGAGAACCAGGTTTGATTCCCCACTCCTCTTCTTCTTCTATGTAATTTTTGCTTTTATGTGATGTGTCATGTTAATACTTGTGCTGTGCTTCACCTCTGCACAGTTTCCAGATTTCCAGGGGTCAGATCATAGAATCATAGAATATTAGAGTTGGAAGGGACCTTGCAGGTCATCTAGTCCAACCCCCTGCACTCTGCAGGAGCAGAGCCGAAAGATAGCCCTACATACCTACAACATACCCGAAAGACGGTTGTCAAGTCTCCGCTTGAAAACGTCCAGCGAAAACGTCCATTTTTACTTGGCATGAAGAAGAGGAGGAGGAGGAGATTGGGTTTCTACCCGGCCCTTCACTCCCCAAAGGAGCCTCAGAGCAGCTTACAATCTCCTTTACCTTCCCCTCCCCACAAAGGACACCCTGTGAGGTAGGTGGGGCTGAGAGAACTCTTTCAAGAACTGCCCTTGAGAGAAAAGCTCTGAAAGAACTTGTAACCGACCCAAGGTCACACCAGCAGCCGCATGTGGAGGAGTGGGGAATCAAACCTGGTTCTCCCAGATTAGAGTCCGCGCTCCTAACCACTACACCAAACTGGCTCTCTCATAGCACAAACCTACCTACAGCAACAGATATGACGAACCGAAGACAGTGGCATAGCCTACAGCAGAGGTGTCAAACTCATTTGTTACAAGGGCCGGATCTGACATAAATGTCACTATGTTGGGCCAGGCCACGTGTAATGCCAGGTACTGGAGACGTAAACTGTATAAAGGACAGCAGCTGGTAAGCTCCAAGTTGTTGTATCCCCACTGCAAAGTCCCATAGGCTGGGAGGGGGTGCAAAGGAAAACCCATATGGGCGGATTGGAGAGCCAGGCATCCCCATGCCGCTTGACTGCTGCAGACAAGCCACGCTGAAGCCACAATTGGAGTGGCTCCACCTACTTCCCCCCCGAGCAGTCTCTTGTTCATTCCCTTGCACCAGCTGCTTATAGGCGGGCCGCTTTCGGCCCCCGGGCCTTACGTTTGACGCCTCCGGTCTACAGTCTCTAACTCTTTATCCCAAGATTCTTTCTGAACCACACTCTTCCAAGTGCACTCCTGTTTTAGCCTGTGCCAAGAGCCCTCTAATTCCATTTTGCACAGTTTGCGGGAAGCTAGTAGAGTGGGAGTCTTCCTAACCTCATCAGGCAGCCCATTACACAAGGGGGGGGGCACCACATCAGAGAATGCACGCGTAGATGCAGTAGTTGGTTTGGCTCATTTGCAGGCTAGCCATTTATGGAAGGCCCTGATCACATGAGCAAAGCTGTCGTGGTGGAGCAGAGAAAGAGAGAGGAGGAGAAGGAGAGGAAGAAGGAGAAGAAGGACGGCAAGAAGAAGGAGCAGGAGAGGAAGAAGGAGAGGAAGAGGAAGGAGGAGAGGAAGAGGAAAGAGGAGGAGGAGGAGAAGAAGAAGAAGAAGGAGAAGGAGAAGAAGGAAGAGAAAGAGGAGGAGGAGGAGGAGGAGGAGGAGAAGAAGAAAAGAGATTGTATTTATACCCCGCCCTTCACAACCCGAAGGAGTCTCAGAGAAGCTTACAATCGCCTTTCCCTTCCCCTCCCCGCAACAGACACCCTGTGAAGTGGGTGGGGCTGAGAGAGCTCTCTCGAAAATGCCCTTGAGAGAAAAGCTCTGAAAGAACTTGTGACTGACCCAAGGCCACACCAGCAGCTGCATGTGGAGGAGTGGGGAGTCAAACACGGTTCTCCCAGATTAGAGTCTGTGCTCCTAACCACTACACCAAACTGGCGGTCCTGCAGCTGTGAGGGACCAAGGCTATCTGATAGCCAGTCCCTTAAAATGAGCCCAGTAACCAACGGAGTGATTGCAGAATGGGAGTGATATGCACTCTCCATCTGGCCCCTCACAGCAACCAACCTCTGAGGTTTCTCATGTACATTGTCACAGTGCAGCGTTGTATGCTCACACCTCACCAAAGGGTCCAATTTATACAACTCACCCTGACCTGGCTATAGACCAGGCAAGCCCAATCTCGTCAGATCTCGGAAGCTAAGCAGGGCCAACTCTGGCAAGTATTTGGATGGGAGACCTCCAAGGAATACCAGGGCCAGGAGGCCAGAGACAGGCTATCAAGGCACTTCTCTGAATGTCCTCCGTGCCCCAGTAGGAGTTGCCAGAGGTCACCATGACTTCCAGGCATGAGCACACGCACAAAAGTTGAAAGGTAGAGAACCCTGTCCCCCTGGAGCCATTAACAACAGCCTGTGCCAGCCGTATAAGGGATTAGAGCTGTGGGCCAATCACCAGAATACATTATTGACTGATGGTCGCCATTGTTTAATAACATGATTATTACCAGTATTATCTAACGTCCGTAGCAACTTTATAATGTTGGAATGTTTTTAGATTATTTTAGAGGATTGTTTAGAGGATTGTTTAAATTGGTAGTGATGTGTTTTATTCTTTTATGTAAGCCACCATGAGCCGGCCTCAGCTGGAAGGGCTGATAAATAGATAGATAGATAAATAATAAAATACTGAAAAAAATTATGCAACTCATTTAGAGATGTAAAATTTCGGGAAATTTTAAAGCTCGGGAAAAAACGGAAATGTTCAGAAAAATTGAAAAAATGCCACATTAGCACTTCTTTCTTCTTTTCCAGATTGAAAGTCATTCTGTTACTTTAGGAACATAAAAAATGACCATGGACATTTTTACTTGGCATGAAATTATCACAACTAGCATATTAAAAATATAGTCCATCCAAACAATTATTAATACCCACCCACATGCAAAAACAAAACTGAAACCTTTTTCTTTTCTTGTGACAACAGCACCTCCTAAAGGAAGGAATGCATCTTTTTCTTGCATTGGAGAGTTCAGTTTGTAACCTAGGCCCTGCTTGTCCTCAGTGCACAGAAATTAGATCAATGTGATGCCATACATATTTTTTAGAAATGATCTGGAAAATATTTGAACACCTTGTCTTAAAATATTTTATTCATCATGTTAAAATAAAATGTTCCATAATCAATTTTGTTTTGTTTTGTTTTCTTTTCTCAATTTTTCCAATTTTTCGGAAAAAAACGAGGGGAAACGTGTTTTTGTTTTTTTTCAAATTTTTCCAGTTTTTTCCCGGACCTTCACATCTCTAAACTCATTCCAAAGATCTTTATTCCTCTGATCCTCACCCACGTCAGAACAGCCACAGCTACGAAGCTCCCCAGAAACCTGCTGGGCCCATAACCTACTGAGGTTAAGGTGTGTTTAGTCTAATCGCCGGTAGTTAGCAGAGTGCTTAAATAAAGCTACAAACACGGCAGTTGTCACTATACCAGGTTACTGAGGTTAACCAGTACTGGTATCTCTGCAAAAATCTACGGATGTAGCTGGGCACCCTGCTGTGCACATTCCTTCCTTAATGGCTCCAAAGGTCGATGGTTGCCAAGTCTGTGATGGGCTGAATGGGCTCTAGCGCTGGAGACTCCACAGTTGAAAAGCAACCTTGTTTAAAAACTGATCTGGTAACATTTGTAAATCTTGAAACAATCTTCACCTAAAGAGTGATTAACACAATCTTCACCCAAAGGGTGATTAACACATGGAATTCACTGCCACAGGAGGTGGTGGCAGCTTCAAGAGGGAATTGGATAAACATATGGAGCAGAGGTCCATCAGTGGCTATTAGCCACAAGGTGTATAGATAGGAACTCTCGGTCTGGGGCAAGTGATGCTCTATATCTTTGGTGCTGGGGGGAGGCAACAGTGGGAGGACTTCTAGTGTCCTGGCCCCACTGGTGGGCCTCCTGATGGCACCTGGTATTTTTGGCCACTGTGTGACAGAGTTCTGGACTGGATGGGCCATTGGCCTGATCCAACATTGGCTTCTCTTATGTTCTTATGTAATGCTTTTCTACGGGAGCGCTCTAAAGACACTTCAGTTACAGCCTGGTCAAAATTTAAGTCTCCTTTCATTTCCAGGTTATGAAATTACTGGAACGAAACTTAACTTCCGACGAAACCCAGCCCACTCGCCCAGTTGTACTTACACCCGTGATAAGAAGCCGGCGACCCTCCAGATTTGCCGTATTCTTGCTCCGAGTAGCTGGTGGACAGGTTAGGCTGGCTGGAGCCTCGGCCAAAGGTGATCTGGTTATTCCCAAGCCCAGTGGCCACCTGGGCCATCCGCTCTTTGGTTTTCAGGGCTTGGGCCCTCTCCGTCTTGAGCCGCTCATCATCCTTCAGGAGGGAGACCAGCTGCTTGGACTTCTCCCGCACATTGATGCCCTGGTCCTTGCCGTCCCTGTCGATGTACTGGAAATCCTTCAGCGTCTGGATGGCAAAGATATTCTCTTTGCACTGCTGGGCCACCCGCTCCGACCCAGTCTTAATCAGGTAATCCAACAGGGTTAAGGCCTTGTACACGTGCCTCCAGTTCTTGCCGTGGTCATTGAGGCGCTTCCAAATCATGCTCATGATTTCGGAGAAGGCCACCACGTTGTACGTCAGGTCGGCGATTTCGGTCATCAAGGAGCTGGAAGGGCCCCAGGGGTCATTGGAAGTCGCTTCCCGGACTTTTATTTCGGCCTCGGAGTAATTGTTCACAATGTTTTTCATCTGCCGCCGGATGGATGAAGTTGTCATGTTTCTCTCCTTCTACACCAAAGCAGAGTCCAAGCCAAAAAAAACCCACCACAAACCACAAATAAAACCCTCAGGGAACGGTCACCGTTCTTCCCTCTTTGCAAGTCCCTGGTATATGAAGACACTGTACACACGGCCAACTTGGAGTGAGTTCTGCTAAAGACATTTCCTCCCCTCGTGCAAGGTACAGAGGAAACTGGAAATCCTGACCTAAGGATGAAAACAAACACCAAAATTAGTTATGTTGTTAATTGTTCTGTTGTATATTTTTAGTGACCCCAAGCAAGTGTCAAAATCCCCTCTTGATTCACCACAAGAACATAACACTAAATTTTCTTTCTTTTTTCATAAAGTTTTTTATTATATATCTAACACAGACAAACAAACAACATATATTACAAGCAAGTTGGGTGTCATATCCATCTTATTACATCTATTTTGTTACCTCCTCCAATATCTGAATGTTAAATAATTTTTCCACCAAAACCATTAGTATACATTTTTTGCTTTAAGTTTAAAAATGTAAAGTTATTTTTCTGTCCATTTTATGTCACCATTTGTTCATTTAACATAATCGTCTAACCATTTGTAAAACCTTGACCATGTATTTTTGAATCTTTCTTCTCCTTGTCCCCCAAAAAATAAAGTTAGTCTGTCCATCTCTGCTGTTTCAAAAGTTTTATCATTTCTTCTTTTGATGGAACATCATTCTTTCTCTAATATTTAGCATATAGTATTCTTGCTGTGGACTAAATTTTCATATTACTGAGCAAGAAACAAACCTGGGATGAGGTTTCCCCTTCTGGACATCTTTCAAAACTCATCTATATCTGATCCCCGAGATAAAGGTAAGCCAGTTTTAGAACAACCCTTGTTGCATGACAAAGGGCCAGGTGCGGAAGATTGCAAATAGGATGCACAGAAATAACACTCTAACCTCAGAATGAGAGAAATCCTTCAAAAGAGTAAGCACATCACAAGTTTGAGAAGCAATCCATCCTAGAATGAGCAGAGCAACCATGCAGAGAAGCAGTGGCACTGAGAAATTTCTTTGTGCCACACAGTGTTTTCAGCAACGATTGTATTGCAACCCTGGGTAAATCTCACTGAAAAGTACAACGTTTTTTTCATCACTTCGCATGGGAAAGTTTTCTTGTTTGGCCTGCAAATAAACGTGTGAGAAGATCTTGCCGTTGCTTATTTTATGTAAACTTAACCTTTGCGTCGTTGGTGAAGGTGGAATTCATTTCTTAACCAGCTTCTATACTGGCTCCTATATTCAATAAAAAGGAGGAGGTTTTTAAAAAAAAAAAGCAATAATGGAATTATGAGAAATTGGGGAAGCAATAAGGTTAACATTAGAGGTTAGCTTTTTGTTAACGGTGAGGACAACCAGAAGTATGCCTACATTTACCCACCCCATTTTCAAGGCAAAAGACATTCAGAGGTAGGTTGCCACCAGTGCTCCCTCTAAGCTGAGTTAGTGTGAGCTAGCTCACAGTTTTTTAGCCTCCTGCTCACAGACTTTTCTCTTGGCTCAGGAAGGAGGGCTCCAGAGCAAACTAATTTATGCAACAGCCAAATTGCTGGCTCAAATCTTTAATGCTGGTAGCTCACAAAGAAGAATTTTTGCTCACAAGACTCCACAGCTTAGAGGGAGGATTGGTTGCCACTGCCTGCCTCTGAATAGAAACCCTGGTATTCCTTGATGGTCTCCAAGTTACTAGCCAGGGGCAACCCTCTTCCGTTTCCAAGATCTGATGAGACTGCGCCAGGCTAAACTATCCAGATAAGGGCACATTTACCTATAATGAGAAATCGTGAAGAAATTACGATTAGGTTTCGTGGTAGCAGTAATGACAAAGTTCAGTCATTAAATTACAAAACCCTGGAAGGTTTGAAAATGAGTCTGGTTCTTAGGTTTCTGGGCTGGCTGTAGTGGTTAAGTGCACGGACTCTAATCTGGGAGAACCGGGTTTCATTCCCCCACTCCTCCTCCACTTGCACCTGGCTGGATGACCTTGGGCAAGCCATAGTTCCGTCAGAGCTGTCCTTAAAAGAGCAGTCCTTGAAAGACCTCTCTCAGCCCCACCTACCTCACAGTAGACTCCGAGTGAAGGGCGGGTTATAAATCCAATCTCTTCTTCTTCTAAGGCCAGAGAAACTGTCTCAGGCCCTGCACGGTGGCAGCGGAGGAGGAGGAGTTGGATTATACTCTGCCCTTCACTCAGAATCTCAGACCAGTTTACAATCTCCTTCACTTCCTCTCCCCACAACAGACACCCTGTGAGGTAGGTGGGGCTGAGAGAGCTCTGAGAGAATTGTGACTGACCCAAGGTCACCCAGCTATCTGCATATGGAGGAATGGGGAATCAGACCTGGTTCTCCACCGCTCTTAACCACTACACCAAAGTGGAATCAGCAATTAGCTCAATGGAACTCCACAGGCAACTCCAACCCACGCACCAACACTATAACCACCAAGGACATTAGTGGAAATTCAAAAGCCCATGCCTTTCTCTCCAGACAAATCTGGCTCTCACTCTCATCCAGATCTATCATACATCTCTGTCGAGACGTCACTCGCCAGACGACGGAAAGAACGCAGCATGTTAAATCACTTTCATTAAAAGCGTAGCATCACATTCATAAGAAATTAACATTGTTAACTGGACCTTAGCGGATTACCCGTTTACCGATGAACCACTGAGAAAACGTGCAAGTTCAGCAAAAACACGGTCCCTGCAGAGCAAGCAAAGTCGCAACTGCGAGCAGGAAAAAAAAAAGAAATTTCATGCCACAGCTGTTCATTGCAAATACCAGAACAAAAACACCCACGGAAGCCAACTTAAAAGGGGGAGGGGACTCTGCTAACACACTCGCAGTAACCCGACTGCTCACTGATAGACATTCACAATCTTTTCTTGATTATCTTTATTTTTTCCTCCTTGTTTCTCCAACAGGAGCAGCATTTGCATATGTGCAATTAATGCTTCTGGGGGGCTGGCAGCGGCTTTGGTGAAAGAAGCGCAGGGGGGGGGGATCCTACCTTTTTCATACTGCTTCGCTGAAACCATGACAGCCCAGCTGCACGTCAATCCACACCCAGGATGACTCAGATGGTGGGTGGGGTACTGAAAGGAAAAAGAACTATATACCGTACACCCAACCCACAACTCTACCAGGCTACATGGAGCAGGTGGTGGGTGGAAGAGCTACTAGGACAGCCTCTGCTTGGCGTGCAGAAAGTCCCAGGTTCAAACCCCAGCATCTCCAGTTAAAAGGACCAGGCGGGAGGTGATGGGGAAAGACCTCCTTCTGAGTCCCCGGAGAGCTGTACAGAGGGGCCGTGGCTCAGTGGAAGAGCTTCTGCTTGACATGCAGAAGGTCCCAGGTTCAGTCCCCAGCATCTCCAGTTAAAAGGACCAGGCGGGAGGTGATGGGGAAAGACCTCCTTCTGAGTCCCCGGAGAGCTGTACAGAGGGGCCGTGGCTCAGTGGAAGAGCTTCTGCTTGACATGCAGAAGGTCCCAGGTTCAGTCCCCAGCATCTCCAGTTAAAAGGACCAGGCGGGAGGTGATGGGGAAAGACCTCCTTCTGAGTCCCCGGAGAGCTGTACAGAGGGGCCGTGGCTCAGTGGAAGAGCTTCTGCTTGACATGCAGAAGGTCCCAGGTTCAGTCCCCAGCATCTCCAGTTAAAAGGACCAGGCGGGAGGTGATGGGGAAAGACCTCCTTCTGAGTCCCCGGAGAGCTGTACAGAGGGGCTGTGGCTCAGTGGTACAGCATCTGCTCTACCACCCAGGTTCAGTCCCCGGCATCTCCAGTTAAAAAGGACCAGGCAATAGCTGATGGGAAAGACCTCTGCCCGAGACCCTGGAGAGCAGCTGCCAGTCTGAGTAGACAATACTGACTTTGATGAACCCATGGTCTGATTCAGGTTAAGGCAGCTTTCACGTGTTCATGAGTGTTCACCCGGGGATGTGCGCTTTCCACGAAAAACTGTACCGGAAAAGGTTGAATGAAATAATTTAAGTTAATGTCAGCAATGTTTCAAGGACGTTAGCAAAAGAAGGCAAGTATACCACACATTTCTGTCCATTCTTCACATCCCACATTTACAGCATTACAGCCCCCCAGCTTACAGATAAACAGAAGTTACATTCACCCATGCGGAGAATTTTCCATGGGGAAAAATGTCTCTGTGCTATGCGGCAGGAAGTCACTTCTGAGACTTAGGGCGACCCTATGAATTTATTGCCTCCGAAACACCCTACGGTTAAAAGCCTTGCTCAGATCTTTCAGACAGCTGCTTCCTTTACTGAGTTGATCCGTCTCATACTGGGTCCTCCTGTGGTCCTATAGCACATAACCTCAGAAAAATTTCCACCCCACATCACCGATTCTAACCTTTCCTCAACAGTTTGGTTTGGACAGGGGTCCCGCTGAGCGCAAACTCCCCCAACTCTGTTGAAACACTAGCTGAGAGTCGGAGGACTCATGTGGGTGTGGGCGAGGGAAGCAAAATTCCAGTCATTCCAGTCTTAGAGGTGACACCAACTTAATTGATGTGTGTGGAGTTCCGCCTTTTGGTGACCCTCTGAATTCATGACCTCCCAAACTTCCTATTGTTAACACCCTCCCTCAGGTCTTGCAAACGGGCGGCTTCCTTTCTTGAGTCGATCCTTCTCATGTTGGGTCTTTCGATATGAAGTGCTTCCTACACTAATGAAGTGTTATAGCAATAAAAAGGTAAAGGTTTCCCTTGCTCGAAAGCCAGTCGAATCCGACTCTAGGGGGCGGCGCGCATCTCCATTTTCAAGCCGAAGAGCCAGGCTGTCCAAAGACTTCTCTGTGGTCATGTGGCCAGCATGAAAAGACACCAAGGTGCACAGAATGCTGTTCCCTTCCCACCGAAGCGGGACCTATTTATCTACTTGCAACTTCTTGCTTTCAAACTGCTAGGGTGGCAGGAGCTGGGGCCAGAGACGGGAGCTCACTCCATCACGTGGCAATTGGGTCTCGAACTGCCGAACTACAGACCTTCCGGCCTGCAGCTCAGCGTCTTAACCTCTGAGCCACTGCAGCCCACTTTCCTTACTACCTTATCAACTTAATTGATACAACAAAGAAAATAGTATTTCTGTTACGGATGAGCCTGGCTCTTAAATGTGGGGGGGAGGGGCCTCCTAAAATCCAAAGAAAGATGGTAA